AAGGTTGTTAGAAACTAGCGTCCATGTTTTCTGGCCCCGAGAACGATACTCCACAATAAAATACCGCAGTGGACAACCCCCACTAGGCCATGACTCCAGGAATAATGTGACTGATGTTGAGTTTACCAACAGAAGATCATCCTGTGCAGGAACTCGGGGTGCTGTGGACATTAAGATTGAAAGTCTGGGTGGGAGACAATATCCATGCAGTTTTATAGCATATTATTGTTATGTATGTAATGACATACCATAATAATCACATTGATTTTCAGCATTAGATAACTACATTTACAATATTCATTTTGACCAGCATACTTTTAACTTAACTCTGAAATAACACTTAAGATCTGGGGTATATTACGTGTATACCTCCTCCTTTAGTGGTGGCAGTGACAACAGAACTTGGTTTCCCATTACCAACCGAGTTCACTGCTGTGAGGAAGAGCTGATAATTAGAGCCACACTTTACCCCATCCAGTGTGTATATCTTCCGGTCTGGGTCCAGCACCACCTCCTGCCACTCCCCAGATTCTCGTTTGTAGCTCAATGTGTATCCTGTGGGACAAAATAATAACAAAACTTCTAACTGACAGACTAAATGACGAACTTCTTGGAGAACAGCCAATCTTGAGGGGCTAAAAATTACTCATTTACTCAATAAATTCCTAATTTTTTATGGAACACAAAGGCTGATTGTCATGTACATGGCAGTCTTCAAGCCTTATTTATTACCTTTAGGTTAACATTTGATTTTACTCTCTCAGCTATAAACATTCACTATTGTTGGTCTGCACAGTACTGCCATCTAGCATGAAGAATTTTATGTTTTGAATGCTATTTTGATACTTGTGATGTTTCTCAGTGTTAAGTGGTTGTAATATAATAATAAAATTAACTTTTGTTAATGTAATATTCAGAATTTGGTTGCTATGTTTATAAGTTGAAGTGATTTTTATTGATGTGTATGTAGTAAGATGAGCCACAGTAGCTTCATCATTATAATGCTGACTACAGGCTGAAAAGCTGGGATTTAATTTCTATCAGGGGGCAAACAACTTTTCTCTTAGTCGCTGCATCCAAACTGGCTTTGGACCACACCCAATCTCCTCTCCAATGGGTACTGTAGGTAAAGTGGCCAGGCACCTCCAGTCCAATGGGTACTGTAGGTAAATTGGCCAGGCACCTCCATCTAGTGTTGAGATGAAGAAAGAGTGAAGCTATACTACCCCACTACCTCATATGTCTTTATCATATGGTATATAATAAGTATCAATGACAACTTCACCTTTACCTATGAACATAATAGAATAATCCTTATAATGAGTTAAGATTTTTATTTTAAAGTTACATTCTTTTAGCAAAGCAGTAAAAGAATAATGCACAGCATGAGGGTTAAAACACTTCTGAAGCAGAACAGAAACCATGTCCACAAATTCAAATTCCTCCTTAAAACAACACAGTGTGGCACCATTTTTACTGTAACATTGTAACTGCGACTTGAGTCGGGCTATTCTTCCACCAATATATCAGGCAATTCTTTTTGTGCATGAAATAATGTAAAATTAAATTTTGACCCAGACTGGACTTATATTTTTTTTGTACTAGACCCTTAAATTTTTTTGTTTTCTTTTAATAAGAAAAGAATGGAGTCACTTTCAAAAATTTTCTGATGATCAAATTGTGTTTAATACAATATACAAAATAAGGCACACAGAACTCACCAATTACTGGACTCCCACCATTATCTGGTAGTCTCCACTGCAGAGCCAGGCTGCAAGTTGTCGTGGCAGGGACAGACAGATGAGGGGCGCCAGGAGGAACTTGTACTATTATCTCGTATGTGATTTCATCTCGACCAAAAACATTCTCTGCCAAGCAGGAGTAGTTACCAGCATCTTCTGGCCTAAGTGGACCAAGTGTCAATACCCCATCTGGGAGCACTCGTTGATGCCTGTTCCCTGACGATGGGGTAATGAAGTTACCAGAGGGACCACGCCAATTACGATTAGGTTCAGGAAGACCCACGCCATGGCATACTAACATAATGCTCTTGACCTGCTCCTCCTACCACTCGTCGAGAAAACGAAGCTATCCGTGCTGGGACTGAAATAGTGAAGGAATAACCACATACTCTGACTAGAGATTAAGCAGTATACTTGTGTGACTGGTTGAAGAAATGAATTACATTTAAAAATGTAAAACCAAATAAAGAAACAATAAAACAGAACAATGGGATTAACCCTTACTGATATAATGAAGATAGTAAATGACAATTTTTTCTGCAAAATAAAAAGCACAGCAAGTAGCACACCAGCTTCAGAACTTTCTTATCGGTAATGAATGTTAGAAAAATTAATTCTTTGTCCATTTTATGATTCTTGATATTGAGGGTTTTTTTATTTATTTACAAGTTCCAAGAATCCAATAGTGGATATAGAACACGTCACAAACTCAAGTATAAAAACATAAAATACATACATTAAAAAAATTACATCTAGACAAGCAGCGTACTAAATTCAAGACAATATAATTAGTATTTTTATTACAATAGTTATCCAATTAAGTACTCATCCACAGTGTAAAACGAGTGAGTAATTAAGAAATGCCTTAATGCAACCTTGAACTTTTTAAAATTATTTGAGGTATTCTTAACCTCTGTGGGTAATTTATTAAATATCTTTATACCCGCATAGTGAACTCCTTTCTGATAAATAGTTAAATTGGCTTGAGGTAGATACACATTTTCTCTCTGTCTAGTATCAATAGTATGAGAGTCAATGTTTGATGGAAAAAGAGTTTTGTTTTGTAATACAAACAGTAATAAAGAAAATATATATTGTGATGCCAACGGTAAGATATCTAATTCTTTGAATATATTTCTACACGATACTCTATTGCTACATCCCATCATTGTTCTAATTGCCTTTTTCTGAAGGAGAAAAATAGTGTAACTACTAGATGAATTTCCCCAGAAAATGATGCCATAGCTCATTAAGGAATGAAAGAAAGCATAATAAATTGTCTTTAGTACTGAAATAGACTTATATGGTTTCATATTTCTAATTACATAGCAAGCCTTGCTCAATTTTTTAATAAGTAGATCAATATGATTCTTCCAAGTTAATGCACCATCAATCATAATTCCCAAGAATTTAGTACAGAAGATATTATTAATGAATTTATTATTATAACTTATTGTAACAGTATCTGACATTTTTCTCTTAATTTTAAAATTAATATAATGTGTCTTATTAAAGTTTAGTGATAATCTGTTCATTCTAAACCAGCATGGCATACTAACATAATGCTCTGACCTGCTCCTGCTACCACTCGTCGAGAAAACGAAGCTATCCGTGCTGGGACTGAAATAGTGAAGGAATAACCACATACTCTGACTAGAGATTAAGCAGTATACTTGTGTGACTGGTTGAAGAAATGAATTACATTTAAAAATGTAAAACCAAATAAAGAAACAATAAAACAGAACAATGGGATTAACCCTTACTGATATAATGAAGATAGTAAATGACAATTTAATCACAGAAGATGCCTCCCACTATTTGTTTGTTATTCATGGCATTTAAAATCTCTGTAGTCAATTTATAGATTGCATTATCTGTTTTTAATCCTTTCCTAAATCCATATTGTAAACAGGGAAATACTGAAAGATGCCACTTAATTGTTAAACCAAGGCATAGATAAAAGAAACAAATTATAAATATGTATTAATAAACATGCTGTGATTACATGAACTGACTTTGAAGAGCTTATGGGGGGGGGGAGTGGAAAATCTTCCAGCATCAGGAAGATAAGTGTGTGCACTTCACAAGAGAACTAGGTACAAACACTGAAAACTCACCTCTGGAGACTGGTGCTTGGGGAACCTTGATGCTGCTCTGTCCCTCTCCTATTATTGTGGAGGCAGTCACCCAGAATTCATATTGCTGGAATTCTTTGAGTCGACGAACTTCATAGGTCAGCTCTCTGTCACCAAACACAGTCTCCTTATGCTCATCCTGTGATGGAAATCAAGAAACATTGTTCCATGCAATAGCAGTGATGTCAGACTGCATATGTAAAATGGTGATATATGGAGATTATGGTGGAATCAATATCCTGGTAAGTGAGAGAGCTTAGAGATCACATTTGTTTTTAAATTACAGTGAAACAAGTCAAGGAATTGTTTCGTTATGTTTCTTCCTGCTACAATTTAGTCTTACCTCTGAGTTTATTGTAAATGCATGCAAAGGAAAATAACACACATTATGTACACTGACAGTTGCAGATTAGAGCAGCAACAATTTCAATAATGTTAGGGCGGAACCTAGGAAGCAGTAAAAAACTTTTAATATTTAATTTGTAAACAGGGGGAACAGTGGCGGCCCATCCATAAGAGCTCCAGAGCTCTTCTGGACTTACAAATAGTTAAAACATTGTCGAGCATGTATGGGTTTTCTCCTGATGCAAATTTACTTTTCATTTATTTATATAGTTATGTGTTGAAAAACTATTCTGAATTTTTCCCCTTGTGCAGCACTACCACTGGTCAGACTCACGAGCCGCCACTGAGGGTAATGGTAACATGGTAACATCAAAATTTCATTCATAAAGAAATTAAGATCAGATTAAATGTAGGAAATGCTTGCCACCCTTCTGCTATATAAATATTTGAAGACTGAAATATATAAATGAAACTAATTTTGTGTACTGTTTTTTATGGATGTGAAAATCACTCTCTCATATTAAAGGAAAAACAGACTGAGGCTGTTCCAGAATAGGGTGTTGAGGATAGCAGTCTAACTATAGAAGAATGAAGTTACAGGGACTGGAGAAAACTGCATTAGGATGATGAAATCAAGGAGGATGAGTTGGGTAGGGCATGTAGCATGCACAAGAGATAAGTATTTCACAAAACATTCTAATTAAAAAATATTAAAGCAAGAGGCTAATTGGAAGATCTAAGTGTAGATGAAATTATAATCCTAAAATGGATCTTATCAAGCTGGGGTGTGAGGGAGTGGACTGGATTAATCTGGCAGAATAGTGATCGGTGGTAGGCTCTTGTAAATATGGTAATGAACCTTCAGGATCAGAGAAAGCAGGGAATCCACTGACCAGATAAGGAACTGCCAGGTTCTCAGTAAGGGCTTTCTTCATGATGTTCGTTAAACTATAAAAAAATTCATGCAGAGCATCTAAGTATGTCTTGTGCTTTTTGTAAAAATATTCTGAAGCTTACTTTGCGCAGCAATGAATGGTAGTACACATTGTACTTGATAATGTTGCCATTTGGTTCCAGCGGTCTTGTCCAGGCAACCATAATGCTGTCAGATGTCATTGCTAGTGCCTTGATTTGTTCAGGTGGACCTGGAACTGTAAGAAAAATAAACATTTTGGGAATAATTTTCTTAAAAAGGAAATCAAAACAAGAAAATATCAGATGGATAAGGGTAGGATCATTTACTGTAGACATTTCAGTAGAAGGATATCACATTATACTTTATCCTTACACAACACAGAATGTAAAAGTTATAGCTATTTTATTTTCACTGGGGGGACATAACTAAGTCTGTACACCACTGTATAGAAAATAAATGACAGAGCAGACAGAATACCTATTTTCTTCTTTCATGTCTGTGAGAGGTCTTACTTTGCCACGTATCACTTGCCATGTATCTTTAATTAACAGTTTTTCTCCTTAACAGATTAATAAAGTTTATACTTTCAGAATTTTCTTTCAGTTCTTTTGCTGACATATTATTAATTCATTACTTCCAATGCTAGCAAAAATGTTACTTTGTTATTACACTGTATACTGAATTAAAGACCCTGGAGTCTAATAATATATAATATAATGCAATACCTTCGCATGGGGAAACATAATACAATATAGCACTTTAATACTGACTATTATGTGTGCCAGAGGTTTTCAACCTGCAAACCTTCAATATATTCTGTGCAGTTTTCCCTAAGTTACCAATCCAAATGCCTGTATCATATCTTCCTTCCTGCTTTATACAAGGCTTCCTAAAATGCCAAACCAACACAAATTAGCTCCAACTGTGAAATCCTAGTCTGATAAACTGTCCTTTTTCTAACACGGTGGCCCATGAAGAGTGAAAGGTGTCCCCATGTCTAAAAATGAGAACTCCTGATCTACACATAAGGAACTGTGAAGTTCAAAAATTTGAGATTTAAATCTGAATGTATGTAGGTAGGGTTAATTATGCTGTTTTGATAGCAAAGAATATAATTTACCTTTACAATTGCTTTGGTAGCAAAGAATATAATTTACCTTTACAAATATAGCAAACACAGTTGCAGACAAGCACTGTAAACTATCAACAATGTTCTATTTTCAATTAAAAGAGTTAGTAAGAATGTTCTTTTTGTTCATATAAAGCTCAGGGTTTAAAAAAGACTAGAAGTATGGGATTTCACAGTAAATACTAGCTGTGTATAACATACCATCTTCCTCTGTGGTACAGTGGACTGGATTGGACCTGACTCCTTCACCAGCTGTAGTAAATGCCAGCACTCTCACACTGTAGTTTGCAAACTTGGCCAAACCATGAAGATTTGTCTCAAGATTTGTTGTTTCCTTTATTTCCACATCTGATCCCATACCTAGAACATTGATTATATGCAGTTTGGAAATTATAACTCATTAGGGGAAATATAAAGTTACGCTGTACATTATTGTGGTAAATCTTTCGTTCTTGTTGGAAAGTCTGTTTGAGGAGTATTTATTTGGATGATTTAGACATTACAATTTAGATGCTAAGGTGTTGGGTCTTTCAAATTTTTGAGTAGGTTTTCATGCTTCTCACCTCCTTGAAAACTGATGTGCTTGTATAAAACATTGTAACCCTCAATGACTCCATTATGATGTTCAATTGGTGGTGGTACCCTTCTCACTCGTACACTCTGTGGAGACAATGCAGAGCAGCGCAAGTCTTGTGGTGCCATGTCTGGAACTAAGATATATATATATATGTAAATTTGAAAATATAACACTTGGCAGTGTGGATGTAGAAAGCATGAGAAATTTAAAGTTATTTAGATTTGAATGTAATTTTCAATTGCATGAAAGTTACTCAGGGTAAAAATAGCAACAAATCACTTGATTTCATTAAAACCATCATGTAAATCATCGAAATTTTAGTTGATTTAGAGTTATACCTAATACTATCTTGTGGTAGTTCTGAGCTTACAATGTTTGGAAAACAGCATGTTATCTTGTTTCAAATAATTAAGTAGACATTCAGTCAGGAGCATATGAATGCCTGACATGCTTTCTGAAATTCCAGCTGTTTCATCATCCTAAATTTTGCCACTTTCAATTGTCTGATCTTAACCAGTGATCATAATCACTGCACATTGCTTGTAAACTGTCTGCTTCAAGGCCACCACACCAATTCTGCAGCAGATATTTTTCCTCATGAACACCCAACCATTTATTCTCTTCATTGTCTACAAATATTTGTTTTCATGACTGATTATGATAATTTGCTTTACCATACCCCAAACTTTCACTTTATATGCAACATCTAATGGTATAAGCTTCTTCTCGAGAACATTTAACGTTGTTATTCTCATCTACTTTCTTTTGCCACTTTCTTTTGCATAAGTCCTGTTCAACAGTATATTTTCCTTACATTTTCATGAATAGCTCTAAAATGTTAATAGCGCTGAAGTAGTGTAAGATCTAAAATGTTAAAATGAAACACCACTTACACACAATGTTTATAAATCTGACTATACACTCATAATTTTTGTCGTACTGTCCCACGAAGCGGCTGTTAAAAGTTGATGCCTAAGAGACTGGCAGTATTGAAACAGGGTAGGAACAAAGGAAAAGTAAAGCATATGGTGAGTGATACATTCTTGAAGGCCATAAAGGAGAAAGTCTGAAGGTGTGTGATGAAATAGAAGATGAAGTCCATAGCGTGCACAACTGAAATGTTTCAACATCTAAAGAGATGAGATCGAGGCACGTAATAATTTCTTTATATTTAGTTTACTGATTTATATAAAAAAACTATGACAAATTTGGAAATATAATTGTCTGCTTACAGATAATTGACAGCCTACTGTAATGTAGAATGTTCATCTAAGCAAGCATTAGAAATGTTGTTCAAAATATGTTTCATAATATTTAATAGCATACTTCTAACCAAAGTGAGGGATGCATACCTGCCCAGCCACTATTTACAAATTACCTCAACTCTCTCAAAAACAGGTTGTAAAATGAAATACCGGTTCACAACATATAATGTTTACCTTTCTAAAGTTTGTAACATTTATCTGAAATATTTTTGGGTATTGTAAAAAATTCAAGAAGTTAAATATTCTGGTACAAGTTAAAAAAAATTAATTTCATTATGCATTTTACTCAAGTCTTATAGTGTTATTACTGAGCCATCAAACAGTAAATGATGTATTGATATGTGCTTACACCCATTATATACCTTAAAACATGCTGCCATTCTGGATTACTTGTCAAAATAACCACATAAAAGTATAATTTATAAAATTACTTCAAACAGTTTAAAACTATGTATACCAAAAACTAGACATTTTTGGTCACATAGCTTAACAGCACATAGAACTACAAAATATGGTGTGTGTGCATGGTGAGTCAACTTTAATTTATAACAATCTGACAATGTGCACAAGAAAACAAAAAGACACGCAATATTTACCTACCACCCTCCAATGTTGTTACAGACTGTGTTGGTGAGGCAGGGCCTGACCCCACCTGGTTGAATGCTCGCACTGTCACCTCATAACAGGTGAACTGGTGTAGAGAGGTTAGTGTCACCTCCAAGCGGTGTCCTCTCACTGTACGCACTTGTTGAGGGGCTGTGGATGGAGCACTGTTTCCTGGTACCCCACTTGGTATCCCAGGATCTCTCCATTGGAGTAACTCACTAAGGGAGGCTGCATAGAGAAACAGCATGATACATAATTTACTGCACACTATTTGGAATTACTCTCACCTTCCATTTTACGTGAAGTGACTCTGGACTTGTTGCTTCAACAGATATATCTATTGGGGGGCCACTGGGAGCTGTATAAATAAAGAAGATAACTCTGTTAGATAGTGAAGTGTTTAGTGAGTCCTTGAAAATGTCATCACTTCTATTATCCTCACCTTCCTGCAAAGTTAGGGCAAGAGTAGACTCACTGGGAGGCCCTGCCCCAACCTCATTGACAGCCAGTAGTCTCAACTTGTAGGATGTAGCAGGTCTCAAGGTACCCAAGCGGGCCTTGTGAATGTTGCCTCCAACAGTAACATTGTTCCATGAACTCATTCCTCCACCCAGTGTGGGCTCCTCCTCACGAAACTGTATTACATAATGAGAGATAGGAGCATGACCTGAGTATGGTGCCCCCCATGAGACGCTCACCCACCGACTTCCCACTTCTTGCACGTCGACCCGTCCTGGGGGTACTTTCTTTTGCATAAGTTTATAATGTTTATAAATCTGACTATACACTCATAATTTTTGTCATACTGTCCCAAGAAGCGGCTGTTAACAGTTGATGCCTAAGAGACTGGCAGTATTGAAACAGGGTAGGAACAAAGGAAAAGTAAAGCATATGGTGAGTGATACATTCTTGAAGGCCATAAAGGAGAAAGTCTGAAGGTGTGTGATGAAATAGAAGATGAAGTCCATAGCATGCACAACTGAAATGTTTCAACATCTAAAGAGATGAGATCAAGGCACATAATAATTTCTTTATATTTAGTTTACTGATTTATATAAAAAAACTATGACAAATTTGGAAATATAATTGTCTGCTTACAGATAATTGACAGCCTACTGTAATGTAGAATGTTCATCTAAGCAAGCATTAGAAATGTTGTTCAAAATATGTTTCATAATATTTAATAGCATACTTCTAACCAAAGTGAGGGATGCATACCTGCCCAGCCACTATTTACAAATTACCTCAACTCTCTCAAAAACAGGTTGTAAAATGAAATACCGGTTCACAACATATAATGTTTACCTTTCTAAAGTTTGTAACATTTATCTGAAATATTTTTGGGTATTGTAAAAAATTCAAGAAGTTAAATATTCTGGTACAAGTTAAAAAAAATTAATTTCATTATGCATTTTACTCAAGTCTTATAGTGTTATTACTGAGCCATCAAACAGTAAATGATGTATTGATATGTGCTTACACCCATTATATACCTTAAAACATGCTGCCATTCTGGATTACTTGTCAAAATAACCACATAAAAGTATAATTTATAAAATTACTTCAAACAGTTTAAAACTATGTATACCAAAAACTAGACATTTTTGGTCACATAGCTTAACAGCACATAGAACTACAAAATATGGTGTGTGCGCATGGTGAGTCAACTTTAATTTATAACAATCTGACAATGTGCACAAGAAAACAAAAAGACACGCAATATTTACCTACCACCCTCCAATGTTGTTACAGACTGTGTTGGTGAGGCAGGGCCTGACCCCACCTGGTTGAATGCTCGCACTGTCACCTCATAACAGGTGAACTGGTGTAGAGAGGTTAGTGTCACCTCCAAGCGGTGTCCTCTCACTGTACGCACTTGTTGAGGGGCTGTGGATGGAGCACTGTTTCCTGGTACCCCACTTGGTATCCCAGGATCTCTCCATTGGAGTAACTCACTAAGGGAGGCTGCATAGAGAAACAGCATGATATAATAATATGTATGTCATGACATGGATATAATTTACTGCACTCTATTTGGAATTACTCTCACCTTCCATTTTACCAGAAGTGACTCTGGACTTGTTGCGTCAACAGGTATATCTATTGGGGGGCCACTGGGAGCTGTATAATAACTCTGTTAGATAGTGAAGTGTTTAGTGAGTCCTTGAAAATTTCATCACTTCTATTATCCTCACCTTCCTGCAAAGTTAGGGCAAGAGTAGACTCACTGGGAGGCCCTGCCCCAACCTCATTGACAGCCAGTAGTCTCAACTTGTAGGATGTAGCAGGTCTCAAGGTACCCAAGCGGGCCTTGTGAATGTTGCCTCCAACAGTAACATTGTTCCATGAACTCATTCCTCCACCCAGTGTGGTCTCCTCCTCACGAAACTGTATCACATAATGAGAGATAGGAGCATGACCTGAGTATGGTGCCCCCCATGAGACGCTCACCCACCGACTTCCCACTTCTTGCACGTCGACCCGTCCTGGGGGCCTCTGGTGGCTCTGAAATTATTACAGGCAAATAACATGGTGTCATATGCTGTAAGATGAAATGAAAGAATGAAACAAAGGCACTCGGCTGCTCTCAGATGATTTTGTTTCATACTTAGTTACATAGCTAGTTACTACTCAGTTGTCTGTGATTGCCACTGACTACCAAATGACCACACACCATTTGCCTTATGACATGTAAAATGGAATTTTACTAAGACAAAATTCATATTGATAAATGTATCACCTTTGACTGCGAGGTAAACTATCATCTCATCCTGACCAAAATCATTGGAAGCTGAGCAACGATATGGACCAGCATCTCTCCGAGCCAAAGAGTCCAAATGCAGTTCTGCTGTGACTCCATTGGGTGTCTGTCGTTCCGTAATCTGGGTGTGGGTAGGATTTAGAGGTCTGTGAGATGCTGACCATGCTACATGCAGGGGCAAATCTCCTTCCGCTTCACACACCAACACAATTCCTTCTCCTGCTACACCACTTTGGTTTACTGCCCGTGATCTAGAATGTGTTGGAACTGAAAAGAAAATTTCTGATCATGAAACCTATTGAGACTGATGTGTAAATTATTCTGTAAAACTAATAAATTCATGTTCATATCAGTATTAAATGAAGCATCTGTCTGTTCAGTCGCTGGTCACCTTCGAAACCTGACAAAGAAAGAAATAATATAATCAAAAGCTTTATGAATGTATACCATGGAATAGAATTAAAAAATGTTTATACTGTTCGCTGTTACAGATGGAAAAATGAACTACTGTTTGGAAGTACTGGTAATGTTGTTTAAATTTTAATGCTGCAACAAACACAAGGAAGCACTGGCAGTATGTCCACACGAAATGATTCAATGACAGCTAAAGGGACAGTGGGTAAAACTGGGGCAGGTCCAGGAAGATGGTTGCAGATTTTATGTAGCTTTCAAAATAAACATATTTTGTAGAATGAATCCAACAGAAAAACAATATATGAGAGACCCTAAATGTTTTATAAAAATTACTATAACGATATAATTGCAAAATTGTCTGAAAATTATGAAGTATATACTCACCATTTACTCTTAGGAAAATAACCTTGCTAAGGCCAGACCCAATACCATTGCTAGCCTGACATGTGTAATGACCTTCATGTGATGGGTCAACCGTTCTGATCAGCACTGAACCATTACTTGAGATGACAAGTCGGGGACCAGACTCCAGGGTTATATAGTCACCAGGTTGTTCACCTGTAAAAATCTGAGTTTTTATATGGTAATTATGTTTATATTTACAAATTATGTACTTTATAACAATCAATATATTAATTATAGCAGTAGTTTAAGTGTTATGTAATATTTAAAGCCATCAGCCTCCCTCTCTTCATTAGACCATCCTTCCTTTTAAGTTTTAGAGGTTATTTGGAGTGACCCATATGTATTGGTAGCAGGTCAGTTATGCTAGGTTAGGTAATTTGTTTAAGATTCTGACACTTCAAAAATTATCCCTTACTACAATCACACTGACTGAAACTATGTCAAACCAAATGAACCTTTATAGCTGAAGCTTGTCTACATAATAATTAAGAATGTAGTTCATACTACAAAAAACAAAAAAAACACTGTCACCATCACAATGATCAATTTCTGAATGCTGTTTTGGAATATATATACTGTTTACGCTGATAATGATACATAACCTATCAATACTAAATGCAAAGGTACTGTCTGTTAAAGCAGCTGGTATGTATATTTACCACTTGACCTCAAAGGGTTAAGCCAACATGAGTTAGACTAGAATTAACAGTTTGAGTAATTTTCATTATGTATTAGGTTTTTCCTTTCTGAGATGTTATTTTTAAGAAAATACATAACCTCAATTTTTTTTTACATTATTCTAGAGACTTTTGATTATGGACTAGTGAGTGATAACTACTCCCTTTACTTCAGAAGTACTAATAACTCATAAAATGTAATGCACTTACGAGACTCCTCAGAAAATGGACTATGTCCAGAAGATAACCAGGAGTAATGACAAGCAACAGTTGTTGACATGTTCAAAAATCAAGAGAGTAATAATGTCACTAACCCTTGGCTTTCATCCATGTTATTATGGGTGTTGGAAAGCCACTGGCTTGACAGTGTAAAGACACAGGATGCTGGAACAATACTGAGATATCCTGGGGCTCAACATAGAGCCTATATATATATATATAGCCTAAACCATGTACTTAACTGTCAGAATCATTATGACAGGAATATAAATGTCACTTTCCCTTGGATTTTATTATTGTGGAAACTGAAAAGATGACAATTCTAACATAAATTTAGAATAACTAAAGAAAAGTATATACCCACACACAAACAAAATAAATGGCAGAAGAAAATATGATTTGAAGCTTTTGCAGTGACATAACTTAATAAAATCTTCTCAGGCAATCAGCCGTGTCAACTGGTGAAAAGAAGAAACTGATGCTTGAGGGACCAACTCTGTCCCCATCATCAAGTTTCTGATGTGACTTGATGTTGAGATCATCTCCCATCTCATGGTCAGACCCTAGCCAATCACAGCTAGTGGGTGGAGTCAATAGCTCATGCTGTGTGACCCTGCTTTCTATTGATGTTTTGACCAGATTGCTTCAGCATTTTTTTTACCGGATACCAGGTCTGACTCAAAGTGTTGCCTCCATTCCTATTAAAGTTACTGGGATGCAGGTTGATCTATATGATTAAATAATAACCAAAATAACCTCATAATGATTCATGCTCATTTCTTTCAAGCTGGAACTACATGCCAGACCCACTTTTGTTCATAAACTACACTCTTATGCTTTCTATTGGTGTTTTGACCAGATTGCTTCAGCATTTTTTTTACCGGATACCAGGTCTGACTCAAAGTGTTGCCTCCATTCCTATTAAAGTTACTGGGATGCAGGTTGATCTATATGATTAAATAATAACCAAAATAACCTCATAATGATTCATGCTCATTTCTTTCAAGCTGGAACTACATGCCAGACCCACTTTTGTTCATAAACTACACTCTTGGACATGAGTAGATGATAATGGATTAACCAAATGACAGATGACAATATAAGAAGATGGATAAACCATCACATCATGATCTGCCCTTCTGGAAACTTGTACCTCTAACAATAAGTTTGGCAGTGTAGTTGGCCACAGCTGCAGCATTACTGGCAATACAGGTGTAATGTCCTGAGTGTCGGGCTGCCAGATTGCTGAACATCAGGTTGCTTACAAACTGGTGCTGCTGTTCTTGTACATCTGCCTCCTGAGACAATGGACCTCCATCCTTGCGCCACGTGATTGTTATGGGGAAGTCCCCAGATATGATGCTGCATGACACTTGAGCTCTCATTCCTTCCTGTAAATTGCTGGGGAACTGGAATGGGGCAATTTGTGGTGGTTCTGTGAACAATGTATGTCATTTTTTTAAACACATAAGAACCAGTAATGTTTTATAGTATCTTTTGTGTTAGCAAGTTCAAACTCAATAATGCAATAATGGAATTACCTGCTACATGTTATACTTTGATACTTTGACAACCCGTTCTTCAAGTGCCTGAGCGCTGCGGGTCCCAACTTTTCGTTGGCTCGATCTATAGACATTCGGTAGGACTCCTTGGACGAGGGATCGGCCC